GTGTGTGTGTGTGTGTGTGTGTGTGTGTGTGTGTGTGTGTGTGTGTGTGTGCATGACAATTCCTCTGTATAGGCCTATATGTTGTGTGATGTGTCTTACGAAGGCCCCTTTCTGTATGCATGTACGGTCGCGTGCATGTATGTTTGTGTGTGTGTGTGTGTGTGTGTGAGTGTGTATGTACGTATGTACGTATGTACGTATATGTGTGTGCGTGTGCTCGTGCATGCGCATTTGTGGGTGATTTTGTGCGTTCTTTCAGTTTAGAATGGTTTTGGTTTTTTGTTGTTGTTTTTTTTTTACTTAAAACAGCTTGCTTTGGTGGAGTTTTTTGTGGGATTTTGTGTAAATCTATTGTTTTTGTTTTCATTTACTTAAATTGGGGGTTTTCTATTTGCATTTAGTTTCCTTTTTCCCCTTCTTTTGATTTATTCGTGGACGTTTTAATTTACTTGTTTATTCATAATTTTTCCTTCTTTTTGTCTGTATTATTCGTGTCCAACCACAAAGGAGCCGACTATTAGTACAACAAAAACCCATACATTCGAGTTGCATGAATGCAGTTTTGGACCTCCCCAGATTTGTTTTCGCTTTGATTTAGCCAGCAACAGGGTTTATTATAATTGGCTTTTTTAGTCTGCAAAACCAGTGTCGGCACTGCGGCCGCTGGGACATGGCTATACATTGTATACAGAAGTTAGGGGTTTCAATCAACGTGAGGTATGGTAGGCTTTAGCCTACAGTACAAATGTTTCCCTTCCGACTAGACGTACAACTAAACAGAAGCTTTGTTGATCTAGGCTATGTTTTTGTTTTGAAGGGTTTTTGAATAAAGTAGCAAACACCCACGAAAAAACAAACAAACCACCAAACAAACAAAAATCTACACAAAACAAGGACGATGGTGGCTAAATTCTAAAAGAGGTCAAGTGTAGTCCAGTCAACCGTGTGATTTTTTTTTCAGCACCTTATCCAGAGAAGAGTCTAGTGCCAGACCTTCGATCTGTGAAATTTCCACATACATTTTGAAAGCCCCTACATTTAAAAAGGCCTAGAACTACAGATACCAGTATACACAAACTTATGCCGTGGATACTTTTTGTTTGTTTGTTTGTTTGTTTGTTTATTTATTTATTTTTTACAGTAGGCTACACCATTGACAAGTGCAACTAAATTGGTAACTAGCTGTAGTTAAAAGAAGCATAACGTGTTAACCTGCAAGCAAAATAACTTTCTTCACATCAACGATTGGACTCGTTTTGTCATGGAAGGAAGGTATATAACTCAAGTAAATAAAATGTCCAAAATAAATTAGTACTGGTTAATTTCCTTGATTGAAGGCAAAAGGGCTAAACGCACGACTTTTTTCTTTCTATATTATATCTCCCCGTCTCCACGCGAAACATTAAAAATGTATATTACGATAAAATGTTTTTCTCTCTCTGTCTCTGTCTGTTTGTCTGTTTATCTGTCTGTCTGTCTGTCTGTCTGTCTGTCTATCTGTCTGTCTGTCTGTCTGTCTGTCTGTCTGTCTGTCTGTCTGTCTGTCTCTCTCTCTC